AACCAAACAATGAAGTTCACAAGACAAATGTCTGAGCACTTGATAAACCAAAGAAATGTCACTGATATATTCTGAGCACTTGATAAACCAAACAAACCAGACCCGGTAAACCCCACTTGAACGTAGGGTCTAGACGGGTAAGATGTATGCAAACCTAACCTCTACCCCAAAGAGTAGAGCGGTTGTTTTCATGAAGACTCCCGGCTGGTGCAAGAGTGTGAGCACTGGATATGAAAATGAAATCTACATGAAACATAAATCCCATGAAAAAAAAGCATTTTTATCACCAATTCCCATTGATTGAAGTGATATGATATGAACTACTATAAGGACCAAAGAAATTAACCAAAACTGAAAAAGAAATAAAAAGAAAAATTGACGATAATAGAAGAGAAGAAAACTGAAACATCATTTTCCATAGTCTACTGAATCACCTCTTTGTGGTACAAAACAACAATGCTATTGATTTCCTACAGTCCATACCTATTGATTCGAGTGATTCAATCATCCAAACGGAAAAATGAAAAGAATAACCTCAACAGAAGGGGACTTTGCTGTCTAGCATTACCTTCTATGAGCAGCTTATTCCCCCCTTTATTTTCTGCTCCTCTCTAACTCTAACATGAAATGGAAGAGCATCTAAACTCCATATTTTCTTCGATAAAAATGCATATAAATAGTTCCTAGTCCTTTCACCTTACAAGATTAATACTGTCCTCAATTCCTGATCGATGGTGTCCACAAGTGCATTGACAAATATGACCACACGTGTCTATCGTTCCAGAAGTGCAAACGAACCATAAGGTTCCATAAAAATGCAAGAAAAACATCAAGGTTTTCAAGAATGGGTGGCTGCGGACGAAAAGTGCAAAGCGTGAATTGTTCTTTTGGCACAATTGACCCGCAATGACATGTTTCCTTCACAGTAAAGTGTTCTTCATCGCATTCTCCTTACAGTTTGTTTGAAAGCCAAGTGCAACAGTTGGAGAAGTGAAAAAAAAAAAACCCTTTGATCAACTATTGACAAAGGGAAAAATTACATTCTACTCAACATGTCATTGTTTGACTTCTGGCAAGTCCAGCTCAAGACCTTCAGATTTCAAATTTGATTAATAATCTTTACAACATAACGACTTTAAACTTGATAGAAGTGATATAATCACATGATAATACCCATAAAAAGTTCAAATCTAAAGCGATTCATTATGAATTCTGAAGTTAAAAAGCAGCATGTTTGACTGTTCAAATTCATATGTGAATTCAATTCAGATTTACCTCAGTCGTTGGATGGAGCAACAGAAAAACACATTGATAAAAGAAAGTTCCGGTGGCCACCTTCTCGACGGTGACATTATAAGCTTTCAAACCCTCACAAGCCTTCTTGAGCTTGTCACGTGCCTCATCCTCCGTCAAGCTGATCGCCCCAACAACAGTAACGTGCGGCTCAAACTCAGGCCCACCAAACTCCGATCGGAGACCAACCATCAATTTCTTCACCCTCGCCGTCACATCTTCCGGCGGAAGCGCCCACACCGAATAAACATCCTTCTTGGGTGGCTGTGCTGCTTCACTGACTTGTACATCCATGGACATCGAAACGAAAAAGAGAGATAAACCTAAGATACCTAGCAGAGACAGAAACCTAATCAGAAAAAGACGAAATTGCGGAGAGACATACATTCATGTGAAGATCTATGACTGGGAATCGGGAAGCAGACGCCATTTTTATAATTCTTGAGATTGAATCTGTGTTTAGGGTTTGAATTTGGAAATATTTGATTAATGAGTTGGTAAATCCTGTTTATGATACTAACTCAGGCCCACCAAACTCCGATCTTGAAGTTTTATAAGTTTAGGAAAAGTACAATTTGGTCCAAAAGTATGATCTAACATTCAATTTTGGTCCCTATTCTTCAAATCAATCCAAATTTACAATTTTTTCACTATGATTTTTTTTGTTTTCATCCCTATAATTCATTTATTAAGAAAAAAAAACTTAAGGTAACATTTTTTTATTAACCTGGATATCTAATCCGGTATGTGAGCCGACTAATACTTGTTTTGTATATAACCCGGAATCACCGCATTTGAACCTCCGTAGCCCAAGGAGATTTTTATTCCTCTTTGAATTTGAACTTGTGACCTTCTTGTACTTTTGACCTTTTGAGCCAAGTCCATACCAATCAGATACCATCCTTGTGGTTTTTAAGGTAACATTCTTACTTCCAATGGAAGGCTCTTACTATTGATGTTTGAATTATGTAAATTAAATGCAGTCATATGACGTGACATTTCAAAAAGAAAAATAGACTCTCAAAACTATCGTCACCCTCTCTCCCCTTCTCCTTATTAGTCATTACATATCTCTTTCGATCGTGAAATTTTTGGATCTCCAACTTTTGTTTTAACAACATCGACAATTTGTCTGACGAATTGTCAGACTTAGAGTATCCCCAAACATAGTTTCTTCTAAAACCCATCCCTAGAAATTGATGTCCATACTAGAGTGACGTTGTTGCTCCTACTCCTTTGAAATTGGTGGGTTGTGGCGGCAAAACCTACAGGATATGTTGTTGAAAAGAAGATCAATATTAATCTGGAAAGGGAAAATAGACCCAACTTACACAATTGTGAATTTATCATGGAATCAAAGATTATATTGTGTGTGGCTTAATCATTTGAGAACCCAATAAATTGTGATAACCTTGAGAACTGGTGCATCGTGTGCTATTTCACGTGATATTTTTCATCTATGGCTTGGATCTAATATTTACATCTACTGCGTGTGGCTTAATCATTTGAGAACCCAATAAAGTGTTTTACAATGTGCTTGCTTCATATGTATTCGTTTCACAATGTAAAACTTTTTTGTTGTAATTTTTGTTTCACAAACACATAAAAAGTGTTTACATTATCAAACAAATATATGTTAAGCAATACATTAAATGCAATCCACAGATAAAAAAAATCACGTGAAATAGCACATGATGCATCAGTTCTCAAGGTTATCACAATTTCATGGGTTCTAAAAAAGCCCTCATGTATTGCATAAACAAAAAGAGGAAAGGAGAAAACAAGAAATCACTTGATAGAGCACATGAAATCAAATATTTTAGTGTAATTGAAACTCAACATCAAATGGAAAATTCTATGGGGTGTCTGGTTAGGTATTTAGCAGTAATTAATGGAAATGAAAATAAAAAAATTTGTTTGTTTTTATATAATATAAATGATTGATTCTCTCAGAAGTCCCAAATTCTCATTCATGGTTAAATTGGGGGGGGGGGGGTGAAAATTCATTCTCATTTTCGTTCTCTGTCATTTTCATTTTCATACATTCGCCTGAACCAAACACCCCTTAAGAAATCTAAAAGTGAATCCAAAAAAGTTAATACAATTCAGGGAAATACTAAAGCCAGGAATGTCGAGATATCGGTGGATAACAGAGATGGAACGAGCATAAAAAATGGTGGAGAAAAAAGATCGAGGAGTTGCCATGTGTACTGACTTCGGGTAACAACGATCAAATAATGCAAATTGAGTTTGGAGGGTTCGTTGTTGATACGGGATGACTTGTTCTTCGCTGATGACCTATTCTTTGTCATCTGGACATGTTTTAGTTGACCTGTTCATGATCGTCACTAGGTATACACCGTTTTCCCCACCAAGCATGTTTCTATCGTCAAAGAAAAATGATGGGAGAGAGACAGATTAGGATTTTATTTTATCTTTCATTCCAAAGGGACCGGGGACTCTAAAAAGAAAAGAACCAAATGACCAAACTGCTTTTTCATGTGTAGGACACATGATTCATTTTAATTTTTAACGGTGAATTGATGGATGGAGTTAACAATACGGACAAGAACCAAAACAAAAACGTTATCTAAAGGAATTGATGAATTGATGGATGGAGTTAAGACCATGTTGTATTAATGAGATATGTCATACCACATAAATAACACAGAACTTACACAACAAAACACTGGGAATGTAAACTTTTACACTGTTTTTTGTTGTGAAAATTCAATATTTTTCATACCTTCACTAACGGAGAGCATCCCACAGATTCTCAAAATATTGTGTGAATATTATGTGAAAATACGTTGTATCTCGTGGTCGATGAAACAACCAGGCTACTCTATCCTGATCCAGTGCTGAAGCAGAATATCGGGGCGTTGCGAATGTTGTTGCTGCAACTAGTTGAATACGAAACCTTCTAGCTACATTGTCCACCACAAAAGGCAACTCCGGTTTTATCGTGACAATGTGTAAGCTATATACCTCTCTGGTAACCTGGTCCAACACCAACAGACCAAACATATCAAAATAGATACATATTGTGCGTGAAAAAGTCGTGATGGATCATGTTCAGGTGTCATATGTTTCTTCGCCCTATCAATATGCCGACATATTCACAAAAAGGGTTATCGTGCCAACTGTTCCTCCAATTCAGAAACAACTTGAGCGTCCAACTTCCTCCTGCTCCGACTAAGAGGCGTTATAGAGACAATCCCACATATTAACGAATAAATGAGAACGTGAAAGGACAAGGAAATTTTACACGATGTTACATTCATATTATTTATCGTAAAAGTTTCAATGTTACTTGTGACGATCGAAATAAATCCATAGATGTGTATTAAACAATTTATTAACTTACTAGTTGTACACCCACGCAATGTGGCGGGATGCAAAAAGTTCATTAAGATTTATTTATTTCGAAATATCAATTTTTTGCTTAAGATGTTATAAAGCGACAAACAAAACAATGGTTCTCGTAATTTTTTTCTTACATTTGTAAGTAAGTTAGATTCAAATATCTACCGATCCAAAACATTAATTCTCATAATTTTTTGAATCATCCGTAAAATACAAATCGTTTATATGAATTGTGTACAAATACAAACCCACTTGTTAGTGCAATTATGGGTGCAATGAATAAGATTATGAGCGACCATACAGTCTCGTTGAACGACAAATCTTCTCGCTAATACTTTTTTGGGTTATTCCTACTGCCGACTTTGGATCTGAAGCTTTTTTCAACAATCGATGATGGGCCAATGCAAGTTTTGCTTTTCTCTTGGGGTATTTTGAAGCCATTCTAAAAGACATTAAAAGCAAGCTCAGGATCAAATAAGGGAAAATAAATTAGGAGCCGTTTACCAAACGCTTACTCAGGTAAGTGAACACCAAGTTGCATTAACTTATCGAATGAATATGGTATTTGCCAAGAATCTTATAAGGACCAAGAGTCTTACCCGGTAAGTGAGGGCAACGATTCTTACCACAATAAGCGCTTACCGGGTAAATCATTGCATAGGATAGCGTTTTGGTGGACTAAAATCTTACGCGGTAAGTAATCAAAAGCGCAAAACACATTAATGGATCAAATCTTGAGAGTTACCAAGAGGTAGGAGATGATCCAGGGTTAAAGATTTGTCAATCGCTGCACTGCATTGGAAGTTTTCAAGCCAAACTGGGTTTGAAGGTAATACTTTATGAGCATATGCATAATAGAAACGACAACTCCATATGTTAGCAAGAACAATCAAGTCATTAAGCCTTAAGCCTTAAGCCTTGAGAAATTAATGACACATACCCAACCGTCATTTAAGAATCTTGTATCGGAAAATGCTGTTATATTTATGCAATCAGTTATATAATTCAGTTATATGAAAAAAAGGAAGCACAAGAGATTGGGTAACTAAAGAATGAAACCAACCGTCTCCATTCTTCCTCCAAATTCCAAAAAACTCATTTATATAAACCATATCACATCAAAACTTTATTATAATTCTGAATCAAAACCCATTCTCGCAATGGCATCTAAAGATTCCAAGTTCAAGAACCTTGTTGTTGTATCTGTTCATCACAACAAAGAAGAAGAAGAAGATGATGATGATGAAAAAGAAACAGAAACAGATTTAGACATTTGTTTAGATAAACTAAATCTTGGTCCCAAAAAGAAACTCCTCGTCATTCCTCTCGGTGGATTCATCGTTCACCGAGCCCATTAACAACATTCCCAAAAACCGCCGTCCTAATTTCTCTTTTGGGAATTTTCTGAGTGAGTTCAAAGTTTTACCCTTTTCATCTCTTCTTTTTTTGCTGAAATGAATCCAAAATTTGTTCATTAACCTGTTGTTGTATGTATATATCTATCTATATGTCTGTACAGTTTACAGGAGGCCTTTTTGTGAATCATTCTTGAAGTTTTGCTTTGAAAGATTTGAAGTGGGGATGTGGTCTTCTGCTATGGAGTTAGTACATTCTTTATAACTTACTTCATATGTGTTATGTCTGTGACTCACTTCATATGTGTTATGTCTGTGACTCACTTCATATGTGTTGTTTAGGTATAACATACAAAGAGTTTTGACCAATGTTATGGGAGATTTGAAAAGGAAGTTACTATTCATCTGGGAGATTTGAACATGATCAAGAAGAATGCACAGATACTGGTTTCACATGTTTGGAGAACAAAAATAAGCCCTTGTTTTTAAATATATACGGGAGAAAAGATGGAGAATACTCATCTTCTAACACCCTTTTGATCACAAATCCTATTAATGCCCTTTTAAATCCTGTATTACTACCCCTTTATTTGTTTCTTCTTCGAATTATTCAAGATTTCTTTATTTACCTATTTTCAATTAATGGAGTTTCGTTTTATTACTGTAAAACACTGATTTCAACAGAATCAATTATGTTTCTCAGATTTTAGTAAAACTTTTGAATCTGAAAAAATTGACATTGCTCTAGAATGGGGTGATATTGTGGAGATGGTAGAACATTTGCTAGAGGTTTAACGGCTCATGCAAGCCACTTGCTACTTACAAAACATGCTCAGTTACACCCCTTGTGGAAACAAACCAACAATTTTCAAGTTCTAAGGTGGGTTCAAGCCATGGAAGCTAAATCCCTAAAGGTTTTAGACATATCAACAGCAGAGTGAGAGTTTAAGCTATGTACCTGAGCCTGCTCTTGGTAAGCATCAGAAGTTGTCGATGTTACTCATGATAAAGGGTGAACTGTGAAAACCATTGAAAAAAACACAAAAATGAGAGGCAAACAACCAATGAAGAAAAAATCTGATAGAAGAGAGAGTTCAAACCTGGAGAGTGATGGAGAAATCTGAATGCATAAATGAAATCCTGAATTTGACATCAAAGAACTACAAAGAAACAATGAGCAATCCAAATGTACAAATGAAACCCTAAGTTCGATGTCAAACAATTAAAAAACAATGAAACTCGAAATCAATGGTGAAGGAGAAACAAAGATGGAGGAACTTATGGTAAGGATAACGTGATTGGAGGCAGATATGGAAAACCAAATTGTGGAGAGTTGATAATGATATGAGAAATCAACAGTCATCTTGAAGGTTGTGTCTTGGGAGCCGAACAACCTGAGGAAGGAATAGCATCTTCAAGTTGTACACTGTGTTTTTAACAGAGCAGGAAGAGCATCTTGGAAGCTGAAAGGACAAATTTTGGGAGTAGGAATAGCATGATGGGGGGTTGTAAAAGCATTAAGAAATTATACAATGTGTTTGTGAAATTGTAATTAAGACTTCAAGTATCAAAAGATAGTATTTTATTTATAAGAAGTTGTTTTTAAGATTTTTTTTAAATCTGTTTTATAAGGTAGTATAGATATAAATTATAAGTTATAATGATTTAACTTTTTTAAAAACTGTTTATTACCAATTTAATACCGATATAAATTATTTATTCAAACATTTAAAAATATTTAATATTACAACAGAATAAATTAATAAGTTATTTTTTATAATCAATCACAAACAACTTTGAAGTTACCGATGATGCAAATTCAAACATAAGCATAAACACAACACAACATTACAAGTGTCCAAAACGAACGCCACCTGTCATCCACGTCCCATCCATATCCGCCAGCTCACCACCACCACCTCCGCTCACCACCCTTATAAACCCTTCGTCTCCGCCGTCTCAATTCCACGTTACCTTCAAACAAACTTCAATCAAGCTACCAATGGCTTCCACTTATCCAACAGACGGTACCGGCGCCGCCCAAAAAAACGGCGTCCCGCCGGGTAAGCCATTGTCCGTGGGATCACAGATGCTTGACAAAGGAGCTCAGATGCTGCAATCTTTGAAACCCATCAAACAGATGACTCAACATGCATGCACTTTTGCTTTGTATGGCCAAGATATGTCTCGCCAAATTCAAACTCATCACTTTATGACACGAATCAACGAGGATTTCCTCCAGTGTGCGGTTTACGATTCTGATGACTCCTCCGGCAGACTCATCGGCAGTATTCTGACTCCATAAATAGCTCTTTGATTTTCATGTTTACTTCGTTTAAGCATGTTTTGATTTGTGGGTTATCTTTGCAGGGGTGGAATACATAGTTTCGGATCGTATTTTCGATACTTTGCCACCGGACGAGCAAAAACTGTGGCACTCTCATGCTTATGAGGCATGTTCTTGATTTACTCTCCTAAAAACCGAAAAACCCAATACAACAAAATCGGCTTTATGGACGATAAAAGGGTTAAAAAGGGTCTTAATGGTTCATTTTTTAAGGTCTTAATTAAGTTGATAGGATCAAATTTGCATTCTATCTTACATTGTTTGTGTAAATTTATAGACGTTTTTGCACATCTTGACAATAATTTTAAGACAATTTTGAAATATAACGTTCTATTAATCCCTTATCAGTAAGAGGGTGTTTGGGATTGCGGTGTGGTACTAGTAACAAGGAGTTTTGAATGTTTAGGTAAATAACTTATACCGGTGTCGAGAAGTTTTTGAAGAAGTTAAACCATTTTAACTTATAATAAGTTGATAAATAATTTTGTAGAAAAATATAAGTTGTTTCAAATAAGCAATTCCAAACATCCCTTAAATAACTTATACCGGTGTCGAGGAGTTTTTGAAAAAGTTAAACCATTCTAACTTATAATAAGTTGATAAATAATTTTGTAGAAAAACATAAGTGCTTTCAATTAAGCAATCCCAAACATCCTTTAAATATTACGAGCTCGATTTTGTAGCTACCATTTTTGTCTTATGGTCTACACTTTGTTTCTTGCATATGAATCTGCAGATACAATCAGGTCTGTTGGTGCACCCACGGGTTCCAGAAATGGTGGCAAAGCCCGAGCTTGAAAACCTAGCCAGAACTTACGGCAAGTTTTGGTGCACCTGGCAAACTGATAGAGGTGAAGTTAATAAAACAAGATGTGTATATACACACACACACACACGAGAACTGTGACCAAATAAGATAATACGGGAACAGTTAAATCACATGTGATTTTACACTACCGGTCAATAAGTGCGGACGACATGGCCCGCGACCTGATCAGTCACATTAATCACATGTGATCCGACCGTTTTCTTCTTTGGTTCTTCTTTGTTTACTATTCTCGTATGAATCTATTCAATGATTTCAAATAGATTTTGACATTTGTTGTATTGAAGTTTTTGGATTGTTCATTTCGAAGGTGATAAGCTGCCGATCGGGCCACCATCGCTAATGATGTCGCCCCAATCTATGGACCTCGGTGTAGTGAAGTCTGAGTTGGTGAAAAAAAGAGATGATAAATACAACATATCGACTGATGCTATTCGGGGTTCGAGGAGCGGTATCACAGGGCCGGAGAGGTTAAACACCATGGCTGATTACTGGAGAGACCACAAGAAATGTCTTGCTATTGAGGTTAAAAGTGCAGAGATGAAGAAGATGACTATATTTCCATGAATTTAAGCTGTTACATGTTTGTGTGTGTATATATGGATTTAGTGTCTGGAAGGAGGGGGGTGTGTGTATCTGTGTTTTATACAATGAAAAGGAATTTCAGACTTCTAATGATAAAGTTGAGCAAATATTACACCAAGTTGTGAAAATTCCATTTAGTAAACTTCTATATGGTTTTAAGTCCAGTTCTACCAAATAGGGTTTTCGATTGTTTAGATTCTACTGAAAGTTGTATAACACTTTCAGATTGAAGTATTTCGATGGTACAATCGAATAAAATTAGTGGTTTTCGAACGACAAATTGATTGTTATAAATCTATGTACCTCTTCAAAAACAAAATGATCAATTCGAAATTGAATACAAAAACTGTCAAAAACAGCTGTTTTTGAATCATAAACCGGGTTTAAAATTTTAAATTCGGATTTTTGAAGCATTTTTCACAAAACAGCTCGACCTCGCCAGGGGCTCTGTCCTTTGGACCCTGCCACCGGGGGCGTTGTCCCCGGACCCTGTCAAACAAGTGTGCACTTCACACCTTCTTTATTTGTTCAATATTTATCATGATTACATTAGTTAACAAATTAATTAATTCCATTACATTTAAATGATATTAGTGATATAAATCACCAACATAGCCATCCTTACTTGTTCGATATTTATTATGATTACATTAATCAACAAATTAATTCCACTATACTTAAATGATATTAATGATACAAATCCCCAACATAACCAACCAGAGATATACAGGGCAGGCTCGGGCCTTTTTCGGATCTTAGACTCTGAGCCCATTTTCATTGAGGAAAAATGGCTGGGCTTGGGTTCAAAGAGGATCAGGCTTTTCTAGGTTTAACCAGGCTTTTTAGGTTTATCATTTTCGTCGGACGTTTAATCGGGCTTTTTTTTAGGTTCTCGATCGGGCCTAGCGTTTTGGCCTGATCGGGCTTTTGAGGATGTCTAGCTTGGATTGAGCTTTAGGCTCACTAAGTCGAGGTTTTAATTTTTCATGGGTCTAGATCTGGCTCACAAATTGTATCGCTAACGAAGAAGTTTTATATTTAAAGAACAAGGGTATATACGACACGAACATATATAAAAGAGCGAGAACGATTCGACCCGTCACAAAAACATCGTAAAATCGAGGCAATTGCAGTACAAATTAGCAGAAAAGAATTTAAACCAGGTTTGGAAGCACCACCCCTCCTACACTTTTCATTTCTGCAGGTTTAATATCCACTGCAAAACCCTTCCCAGTTTGCATCCAATAATCCGATGCCCTTGCGATCCCCGGCTTCGATACAGGAATGTTAGCCCTCGATGCCCTAAGCTCATCGGTCGATATCTTGTACTTGTTGTCCCTCAATTTGACAAGGTCCGGTTTTATAACTCCCATATTTACTAATTGTGGCGACATCATTAGCGCTGGTGCACCAAGAGGAAGCCGATCTCCTGCACACCATAAACCATGATGCCGATCATACAAACCAACTGAAACAAACATTGTTATAGACAAATGATGCCGATTCATCATGGGTATATACACGTAGATATAATTATCGAACGTTGAGATGCCAAAGGAATGATGTACCCTAATCGAATGATGCAACGCTACTTATGTGCCCACTTCGATGTCTCACTCATCGTACGAGTACAACAACTACTACTACCAATGCTACCAAGAAAGCTTAAAGTAGAGTTAGACAGAAAGAAACACAGGAGATGCACCACAACTAGGTTTAGATGATATACAAATAACCAAAAGGAAGGTGGGGTCACTACAACAAAATCGAGTTTATAGGACACTCTCAAATTCTAAGTGTCCTAATAGACCTCCTTATAGGACTTAGTTTATAGGACCAAAAAAATAAAATGTTCTATCTAAAGGTGATGTAATAAGTTTATATGACGTCTTTTGGCGTCGTAATAAGTTTTTTAGGACACTTTTATTAAAGTGTCCCATTATCAACTTTATAGGACATTTTTTGAAAAATTGTCCTATAAAAACAAGTGTCCTATAAAAAAATGAGTTTATAGGACACTTTCTCGTGTCTTATAAAGTTGTTAATGCGACACTTTGTATTAAAAATGTCCTAAAAACTTGTTAAGACGCCCAAAAGCGTCATATAAACTTATTACAACACCTTTAGATATGACACTTTATATTTTGGTCCTATAAATGAAGTCTTATAAAGAGGTCTATTGGAACACTTAGAAATTGGAGGTGTTCTATAAACTCAATTTTGTTGTAGTGGGTGGGTCGTACCTCTATCTACTTGCCAAGTGCACCAAAACTTTCCATAAGTATGTGTAATATTTTCAACCTCAGGCCTCTGAATCCTCTCCGGAACACCTGGATTTATCCACAATCCTGATGTAACCTGGATCAGACAACGATTCAGTTACTGCATATATATATATATATATATATATATATATCCTCTTAGGTTGGATTCACGTGAAACCAAGTGTTTTTTGTGAGACCCGTAAAACTAATTTATGTTCATTGATCAACTTTATAAGCTAATTATCTAATAATCTAAAGTTGTACGGTGACAATTTTGTAATTATTGAGAAGTCTCGTGGCATTTATGAATGTTGAGATCTGACGATTGTAGATCTAATCCAAGGGTTGAGAATTGGTCTTACGGGTCTCACGAAAAACCCATGGTCTCACATGATCCCAAGTCTATCCATTATAAATCACACACATATATATAATGGGGTTCAAACGAGGACATGGAAAACAGGAGAATGGTCCATTCACATGTGATTTTATGACGAAATCACATGTGATTAGGGTGCGACTTTGGCCGCCGTAGGTCAACTCACCCGCCCGCGGTTAAATCACATTTCATTTAACCGTTGTCTGTGTTCTTTTATTTTATGAGCCAACTCGATCTTTTTAGCTCAATGATCTAAAGACCTAATAAGGGTTTTTTTTTTTTCCTAATTGTTAACAAGAACAATTGATAACCTCATGATCATGGGAATGCCACAGCTTCTGTTCATCAGTCGCCAAAGTATCAAAGATCCTATCAGACACAATGTATTCCACCCCTACACAAACATCACACTAAAACCAATCAAATTTCCTTCATCCAAAACAAATTCAAATGGTTCACAGCCTCACCTTGTACTGCAAAACACTAAAACAGAAAGCAACATTTCATGAAACGGAATATTCACAAATGAATATGGATCCATGCACATGTGCATGCGTGTGAATTCTGATGGAATCATCCACCAATTTCGTACCTATAAGACGAGCGGAGGGATCATCGGAGTCATAAACGGCACACTGAAGGAAATCCTGGTTGAGGCGGGTGACGTAGTGATGAGTTTCGATCTGGCGACTCATATCATGACCGTAGAGAGCGAAGGTGCACACATGCAGGCTCATGTTCTTGATGGGTTTTAAGGTTTGCATCAACTGGGAACTTTTGTCGATAACTTGTTGCCCCACCGTCATGGGTTTTCCCGGCGGGACTGATCCGTCGCCCACCGGCATCACATCGGGAGCTTTATCGCTGGAAGCCATCAGAGAAACGATGGTTTTTTGTATTTGGTAATCTTGGGTCTATGTTTAGGTGCTTCTGTTTGATGTATATGAATGCAGTGAGGTGTTTAAGGGGATGACATGTGTGCATGAGTTGCTGTGCTTGTTTGCCAGGTCTTGGCAGCAAGAATTATTCATAGAGTAAAGTTATGTTTTTGTCCCTGTTTTTTGTTAAAATTTACGATTTTCGTCCTTGTGGTTTAGATAATATAGTTTTCGTCCCTATATTTTATAAATCATTACTATTTCCGTTCTTATGATATATAGTTTACTGTTGTTTCATATTTGTGGTTTAAAATTCTTTACTATTTTGAACCCTTGTACTTAAAAAGGTAAGAATTATTTCAAAGATGAAAATAACAATAAATTACAAACTATAGACAAAAAGTGCAATTTCTAAACCATAAGGACGAAAAATATAATTTACTCTTAAGTTAATGGAAACATATGTATCCATATGAGTTTAATTCAGCCTTTTCATTTTTATACGATAAATGAAACAAATAAACTCAAATACTCTCATTACCTTTAGAAGTCAAAGACTCACGTACATGCATCATCCTTCGATGATGGAACCATGTTATATCAAATAGTTATTAGCAATGGATTAGCAAAGGATAAGGTTTTTTGTAAATCCGTCGTTAATTAGCAAAGGATAAGGTTTTTCTCTATGTATATTTGAACCTTTCTTCACTTCTCAAAGAGCTCTTTTCAAAAGTAATTTGGATTTCACGTATCTCGATCCATTGGCCGAACGGGCGTGTATGAGTCCTACACGATTTTGCGTAAAATTTTGTAGATTAATTATAAAATGTAATTAGGGTTGACACAATTCATGAACCAAATGGTGGTGCCTGATTGGTTTGAGCTTGGCTCCAAAGGTCAAAAGTACCACTCTCAGGTTAAAAGTACCACTCTCAAGTTCAAATCCAAGGATGAATAAAAATCCCCTTGTAGCCACGGAGGTTCAAATGCGGTGACTCCGGGCTATCTACAAAGCAGGTGGTCGCCCTAAGATTAGTCGGCTCGCATAACAGATTGGATATCCAAGTTAATAAAAAGAAATCATATATAAACAAATGCAATTATCAAATTAGGGACCAAATTTAACAATTTTCTTTCATGTAGTTACAAAATACAAAATATATTTTCTTGTAATACAAATTAAGGTGCCGTTTACCAAACGCTTACCCGGGTAAACGTTTATCAAGTCACTTTACTTTACCGGATGAATATGACAAGGACTAAGAATCTTACCTGGTAAGAACGAAAGCAAGAATTGAGGGTCTCACCCGGTAAGTGAGGGCAACCACTCTTACCATGGTTAGCAATTACCGGGATTAAATTGTTGTATACGATAATGCGTTTTAGTGAATAAAATCTTACCCGGTAAGTAATCGATAGTGTTGAATTTTACCGATAAGTGCTTGCCGGGTAAGTGTTTAGGTAAACGGCCCTAAGCAACTCATTAAATAAATAAATTAAAAAACACACACACACTCTCTGTATCACATTGACTTCAAACTTACATGTTAAAGGAAATTATACAACTTAGGAACCAGAAAAGAAGTTAAGAAGCTGACATTTTAAGAACCCTAATTAACATTTTAGAGATCTTTAATTTCACATATCATAAATCCTCCATTGTTGATGAAGGTTTCAATGTCTTCAATTGATGTTCTTCATACTCATGCTCAACATCAAGACTCTGTGGCCTATACTTGTACCTCATAGCAACAAGCAGATAGACTGCAAAATTGATCAAACTCAATATTGCAAGCATCCAGTAGAAGAACTCCAAATGATTCCTGTTTATGTTGTTCCCAGCCAACCATCCTCCGCTTTTTGTCGCCCCTTTCGTGGCGTGGTTCACGATCTTCACCATGATACTACTCATGAAATACCCGATTGCCATCGAGCTCCAAAGAAAGCAAGAAGAGATGGATTTGATTGGTTTTGGCGCCTGCGAGTAGAAAAACTCGAGCAGTCCCACGTACGTGAACATATCAGCGATACCGAAGATGAAATACTGGAAGGATAACCAGAAAACACTTATGGGCAACGGTTGAAGAAGAGGGATCGCGTCTAACATGTCGTGATCTTTCGCTACATTTTTTCGCTTCACTTCCATAACACCCGCGATTGCCATTGATAACGAAGAGAGGATAAGCCCGACTCCTACTCTTTGCAAGTATCTTATGCCAGTCGGGATCCCAGTAAGTTTACGCATCAAAGGTACAAAGATTTGGTCGTAGATCGGGATCATGATGACGAGGAATGCGACAGGAATAATGGGAAGGGATGCAGGTGGCATATTGAAGGATTTTGTGAGCTTGATGTCCATGGTGACTCCTTGTTGAACTGACCATGTTTGGAGCTGAGCTAGGCAAAGCGTCATGATAATGCTACACAGAAAAACCGGAACCATTGCTAGTAAGATTTTCGCATTTTCGACTTGCGTAACCCTGCAAAGTTTCCATGGACTTGGCGATTCGGAATCATCGGAAACGATCGCTGCTTTGTCTAGCCACCTATATGTATATATATATAACAAAAGAACAAGCCTTTAGTTACAAGTTTATCTAAAACATGAGATGAAATTCGAACAGAAATAAAAAAAATATATAAAAAAACTTAATGGACGTTAGTGTTTAGAATGATTAAGTCTTTGGATAATTTTTTTGAATAAATAAATCATTGACATTCTAAAACCTGTTAAACAATTCATTGGACTTTCTAAAACTTGTTATATACATCCTTATGACCTATAAAACTAATTAACGTAGTAAAATAATGGGAAAACATGAAAAAAAAAGCCAATAAACATTCATATTTTGATCGATAAAATACTTAAACATTTTTGAAAAAAAAGTACTTACATTATATAAATAAAATAAAACAAATATACCAAAAAAGTACTTATATTTAAAAAATATTATTGATAAAATTTATTTTAATTATAAATAAAAGATATTTTTATTTTTAATTAAAATAAATT